CACCATACCACCACACTACTACCACCATACCACCACCACAGTACTACCACCACCACCCTCATCACCACCACCACCACTCCTACTACCACCATCATCATCATCATCACCACCACCACCACCACTCCTACTACCACCACTACCACCACACCAAATTTTAGCTAAGTAAATTGTTTGATTTGTAGCTATTTTTGTATTTGCCATTTGCTTAGCTGTGATGGCCATCTTGAATTAGGTTAATGAGATGTTAATGAGTTTTAGATGTACATCAGAGGTTTGTCTGTCTGTTAACAAAATATCTCATGAATTACTGGATGGATTTTAAAGAAACTCTCAAAAACTCATCTTTGGATGGACATATATAACTGAATAATCTTTGATATCAACTCCGTTCAAGATGGCGTCACAACCAAGTGACCCTATAAAACATAAAAATGTCTAAAACTGCCACTTCAACAGATGTTGACCTAAAATGTTGTGTGGTAGTAGCAGAGAGTCATCCCAAGCACAAACTCTGAGTACAGCATTTTGGCATTACCTGTGAAAGTCAACACTGTCTGTTGGTAAAATATCTCAAAGCATTGGATGGATTTAAATTAAACTCCAAGAATATAATCTCAGGATTCACATTTACAGCTCGTGAAATTTTGGGATGAATAACGTTCAAGATGGTCGCCACAGCTATTCGACCTTAGTCAACACACAAACAAAAAAAGCCATACCAGTCAGATTCAGAGATATTTAACTAAAACTTTGGGTGCCATCATCAAATGAGCGACACAGAGTGAAATCCATTGATTTAAATTAATAAAACACTTGCTCATTCATTCTCCATAGGCAAAGATTTAGAGGTTTCTCACCTTCTCTGAGCTCCTCTGATGTTTTTCCCCAACAAAAATCAGGAAAAGGGTAAAGGTCAAAAAAAGAAAGTTTCCATGAAGGATAGGAGACAAAGCCACGAGTGGATTTCAAGCACAGAAGCATAAATTCAGCACTTACCTACCAGATTCAAACGCCTCCTCGTCTGCCACAAACCAAAACACAGAGGAGAGATTACACATAACTCTGACAGAACCTTTTGTGTCAACATCAAGGACTTAAGTTCAACATCGGCAGCTCTTCAGTGGGGGGTACTGCAGGGGTTCATCCTCGGTCCTCTCCTCTTTTCTTTATACCTGCTGCCGCTAGGTGCTATTTTTTGTAAACATGGCAAACCCATTCATTTCTATACCGATGACTGTCAAATTTACTTCCCTCTGAAGCACACTGGTGCACGTTCTATTCAACCTCTTCTTGACTGCCTGGCTGACAACAGGAACTGGATGGCTTTAAATTTCTTAATTTTTAATGAGAAGAAGACTTAAGTCATGTTGTTTCCTTCTAATGGCACGATAAAGAACCACTGTATCAACCTTTCCTCTCTAGCCCCGTTAGAGAAACAAAGAGTCACTACTCTGACAGTGAAAACTGACCCTTCCATGTCATGTAAATGTAAATATGTAAATAAATCCTGTTTTTTTTTTTTTCAGCTGGGGCAACTGCCTAAATTGAGCCCATACTGTACAAAAATAGCCTTGAGATTGTAATACATGTGTTCATAACATCCAGGCTCGATTACTCAACGCACTTCTTTTTTAAATCAGTCAGACCTCCAATACACAATTACAATTGGTCCAAAATGCTGCAGCATTTTTACAGGTAAAAGAGAGCACATTACACCAGTTTTGGCCTTCCTGCACTGGCTCCCGGTTCACTTTTGAATTCAGTTCAAAATCCTTCTGTATGTTTTCATATCTCTGAACAGTTCTTCCCCCTCTTTTCTTGCTGATCTGCTGCAGCCATATGTCCCACAGTGCTCTCTGAGGTCACCAGATCAGATGCTTCTATCGGTTCCAGGAACCCGTCTTAAGCTCAGAGGTGACAAGGCCACTGTAGAATGACACCACATGTCAGGCAGTCTCCCTCTCTTACTGTTTTTAAGTATAATTTAAAAACCCAATTTATTCCCAGGCTTTAGACACTGTGTGATTTTGTTTTTAACTTGTCTGTATTGAACGTTAGCCATTTAGTTATTATATTTTTCCATCTGGATCTATGTATTTTTTGCTGTGTGCTTTGCTTATTTGTTTCTGCTGTACAGCACTTTGGTTGGCCTTGTTGCTGTTTTAAGTACTCTATAAATAAATGTTGGTATGGTATGGCATGGCATAGTATGGTATGGTATGGTATGGCATGGTATGGTATGGTATGTATGGCAAAGCATGGCATGATATGGTATGTCATTGCATGGTATGGTCTGGTATGGTATGGTATGGTCTGGCATGATATGGTATGTCATAGCATGGCATAGCATGGTATGGCATAGTCTGGTATGGCATAGCATGGCATGATATGGTATGTCATAGCATGGCATGGCATAGCATGGCATGGTATGGCATGGTATGGCATAACATGACATTGTATGGCATGGTATGGCATAGCATGGCATGATATGGAATGGCATGGTATGGCATAGCATAGCATGGCATGGTATGGCATAGCATGGCATGATATGGTATGGCAAGGTATGGTATAACGAAGCAGAAAATTGAGCAAAAGAAATAATCAGAACAAAGCTCACCTGCTTCAACACATTTCTCATCGATGGCCATCATGTCCTCCTCTGTTAGATAGAAAACAGACTTAAAACCCTTAAAGCTGACGTGAGTTCAGCTGATCTCTGAACATTGCTCTTTACCTTCGTCCACAGGGCTGACTGCAGCAAGCAGAGAGAGAAACAGATAAAACTCGTAAGGGAGGTTGTTAAATTATGACATCGGAGTAAGAAAATGGTGATGAACTCACGGGTCTGGATGCAGGCGTGAGGCTGGTACGGCTGAGACCACCAGAACTCCCTCTGCTTCCTGCAAGAAAAATAACCGGATTATAGGGGCTTTAAATATGAGCTGTTTATGATTCATAAACACAAAACAATCAGCTGACCATAGCTGGAAACGTATGTTTTTCTTAAAATGGCAACATAAATCTCTAAATATATATTTAGACAACCTGAAAATATTGGGCAGTAAAAACTGAGCAGTTTTAAAACGTAAAATATAAAAGGTGTGGTCATTAGTTGACGGAATGCACATCGCCCGCCTTCTTTCAGGCTAGTGTTTGATTAGGATCATGGCAAAATGGCAACATTTTAATAAAAAGCCTCTTATGAGACATTAACATTCAGATTATGTGTTTAAGATGACTCACAGCTACTACCACACCAAATTTTGGCTCAGTATCTGTAAAACTGACTGAGCTTTGGCGTTTTTTCTGTTTTTTAAGAACTGTTGTCTGGGGCGGCCATCTTTGAGAAAGTTGGCTTCAAAAGTTAGTCCTATTGAAATCTGCCAGTGTTTCATGAGATGTTTTGCTAACAGATATAAACACACACATATATAGGCAAAAACATTATTGCTGAAAAACAAAAGCTGCGGTTCCCATCAAGCCACTTGTCAGAGCTGGCGGCTGCAGCGATGAAACCAAAACACAAAAAACGGAGATGTTTGTGGGGTTGACTCCTATGTGAGGTCAATGGGTGCAGGAAGTGTGCTGCCGGACCGTCGGAGCAGGTTGGTGGACGGGACGAGGCCGGCGCATGCCGAGCTGCTGGGCAGTTTCTTGGCCTGCCACCAGAGAGCGTCCGTCTGGTCCACGATCTCCAGGACGTCGCCTCTCCTGAAGCTCATCCCGGCGTCGGCGCAGGGGATGGAGGGGTCCTGCTGGGGGTTGTAGTCGGTCATGGCTCGGACGTACAGCTGCGACAGGACAGGTTTATTGGTAGAAGGTTCAAACGTAAACAAATAAAATGGAACAAAGCATTGGATTTACCATCGTCTGGTTGTGGATCGGCCTCTCTGTGATGGGGATGACCTTAAACATGATGGTGCCGTGAGAACGAGCTTGCTGATTGGACACCAAAAAAACATACAAATATGAATTTATGGAAATAATTTCTGTGCTTTGATTTTACTTCAGCATGAAAAGACACTGGGACACTGGACCATAGAAATGGAGAACAATAATCTTTTTTATTTTGAGTTAATATCCTGATATGGATTGTAAATTCATCAAAGGGTAGCTCACCACAACTTGGATGACCTGCTCAGGCTCCATCCCGTCCACAGGAAACCCGTTCACCTCTACGATCCGGTCTCCTGCATGAAGCAGACCTGCACACAAAAAAAAATACACATTAAAAAAGCTGAAGCTGGGCCTTTACTGGGCATTTCTGTAGGCGGGTTGTTGCAGGAGTTTTTTTTTTTAACTTTTTTTTCATCCAACCTTTATTTATACAGGTTAGTCTTGTTGAGTCACGAGGACTCATTTACAAGAGGGACCTGTTCCAGACAGAACATATAAAGTACAGACAAAAATAACAATAAACTACAGTAAAAATGCAGTTAAAATAAGAGTAGTGTATAAAACAATAAATCAGGTTGGCCTTTGTCACCGATTCTGTTCATAACTTTTATGGACAGAATTTCTAGGTGCAGCCAAGGTGTTGAGGGGATACGTTTTGGTGGCCTTAGGATCGCGTCTCTGCTTTTAACAGACAATGTGGTCCTATTGGCTTCATCAGGTCGTGATCTACAACTTTCACTGGAGCAGTTCGCAGCAGAGTGTGACGCGAGTAGAGTGCCCTCTCTGGGTTGGGGAGGTTGTCCTGCCCCAAGTGGAGGAGTTTAAGTATCTTGGGGTCTTGTTCACGAATGAGGGAAAAATGGAGCGAGAGATCGATAGGTGGCTAGGTGCAGCATCTGCAGTGAAGCGGGTGCTGTACCGGTCTGTTGTGGTGAAGAGAGAGCTGAGTCAAAAGGTGAAGCTCTCAATTTACCGGTCGATCTACGTTCCTACCATCATCTATGGTCACGAGCTTTGGGTTGTGACCGAAAAAACGAGATCACGGATACAAGCGGCCGAAAGGAGTTTTCTCCGAAGGGTGTGTGGACTCTCCCTTACAGATAGGGTGAGAAGCTCGGTCATCCGGGACGGACTCAGAGTAGAGCCGCTGCTTCTCCATGTCGAGAGGAGCCAGTTGAGGTGGTTCGGGCATCTGGTTAGAATACCTCCTGCACGCCTACCTGGTGAGGTGTTCCGGGCACGTCCCACCAGGAGGCTATCCAGAGGAAGACCCAGGACACGCTGGAGGGACTATGCTTCTCGGCTGGCCTGGGAACGCCTTGGGATTCCCCAGAGGAGCTGGCCCAAGTGGCTGGGGAGAGGGAAGTCTGGGCCTCCCTACTTAAGCTGTTACCCCTGCGACCCGACCCCAGATAAGTGGAGGAGAATGGATGGATGGATGGATCAGGGTGATGTAAAACACTAAAAACAAGAACATATTTGCTTTGATGTTTCTATTGACATTATCAAATGTTTAAAACCCCTTAAAGAAATCAAGGAGGACAACTTCAGTTCCTGTTACAAGGTGTTCCAGGAGCTGAGTAGGAAAAGGCCTCTTTGTCAAGTTCAGTCCGCACTGAGGGAACACTGCAGGTAATGATGTCCTGAGGGTGCACGCTGTAACTGCACTGATGACGTGACATATGGGAGGAATTATAAGAAGGTAGCAGACAAAGGAGGGATTTTAGATGAAAATAATTAATCTACTATTATCGATTTAATCTACTCAAGCACACGTTCGAAATGAAAATGAACACATTCATCCATTATCTTTACCTGCTTTTATCTTTTTGGGTCATGGGGGTCACTGGCACCCATATCCAGCTATCACTTTGCGAGAGGCGGGGTACTCCCTGGACAGGTCTCCAGTCCATAACAGGGACACCCAGAGACAAACAAGACAAACAACCATTCACTCTCTCTCTCACACCTAGAGACAATTTAGAGTTACCAATCAGACTAACATGCACGTTTTTGGTCTATGGGACAAAACTGGAGAAAACCCACGCATGCATGGAGAGAACATGCAAACTCCACTCAGAAAGGCCCCCGGACCGGCACCAGTCCAACGACCTTCTCACTGAGAAGCAACAGTTCTCCAAACTGAGCCACCGTGCCCTCACAATTTATGTTGAGGTAATCATTCGTAGAGCAACAGCTCTACGAATGATTACCCACTGGTGGCTCATTTGGTAGAGCTGTTGCCTCTCAGTGAGGTCACCAGATCAAATCCTGGCCAATCCAATCAATCCATGTTAGTTTCTGCTACTTTCAGCCTAATTAACTTCTTTCTGCTAATTTCAGCTTGTTATACTCCTTTCAGCTTATTTCTGCTAGATTCAGTTATTCAGCTACTATTTAGCTGTTTTATGCTAATTTTAGCTTTTTCAGCTAATTGCACATTTTTTGCACCCATTTCGACTTTTTTCAGCCTAATTCAGCACAAATGTGCTCTCTCCACTTCCGTCTGGCAATATAAGCTTCTTTCTGCCTTTTCAGTTACTTTTCAGTTTTTAATGCTAATTTTAGCTTTTTAGCTAATTTCTTAATTTTTGTGTTCATTGCTGCTTATTTAAACATAATTCAGCACATATGTGTTGTTTCTGCCTTCTTCTGCTAGCTTGTTCTTCCATTTCAGCATATTTTTTAGCTAATTTCAGCTGTTTTTCAGCAAGTTCTTCAGCAATAAGCATTCACACAGTTTCTCTACTTATGTTATAAATTAAGTTTATTTAATAAAAACCTGTAAGTCCAGAATGGCTACATCAGCAAATGCTGTCAAGAAAGAGGAAAAAAGTCTCACCGCTTCGATCAGCCAGCCCTCCGTGAATCACACGAGCCACAAAAATCTCGCCTGTGACCTCGTTTCTCTTTATGGTCGCTCCCTAAAACACAAAAGATGACAACACGTCTTTTGTTGGAGAGTTAGAAACACGAATGTGGAGAAATGCAAACGGGTGAACTCGGCTGTAGGTTGTGAAATGAAAGCAGACGCTGGAATGAAATGGAAGAAGATTTAATTCAAAATGGTGACGTCAAATCAAAGGACGGTGGTGAAAAGGAGGTGCTGGATGGTGGAGGAGCAAATAAAAGATGGTTGAGTTGGATAGGAGTGAACGGAGCTCACTGTTTGGACACTCCATCGTCTCATCTTGGTTTCTTCTTCTTCCTCCTCCTCCGTTGGTTCGATGGGCCTTCTTTCTCAGAGTTCAGCTCATCCAGGACACCGTTTGTGAGTGGACATTTGGACGCCTCCAGTCTTTCGTGCAGCAGAGAAGTTTGCGTTATCGTGGCGGCCCGAGGAGATCCACGGGAGGACACAGAGAGATGGTGGACAGTCTGAGAGGTGGAGGTGGTGTCCAGGGAGCTGCTGCTGCTAGAGGAGGTGGAACATCTGGACTGCTGTGTCATCGGCTGCTCTGAAAGTTTCACGGTGTTGACCTCGGTCCTGGAGGCGTTGAGGAGCGTCTGCAGACGGTCCACACCCTGAGTGAGGAGAGCCAGAGACTGCACCGTCTCCGTCATGAGCTCGGTGGCGGCTGCCATCTTGTCTCCGAGGACTTTGATGTCCCTGGTGCTGTTGTCCATTGAGCTGGCGGCCAACTGAACGGTCGTCCTCAACTTGTCCAGGCTCTCCTGCTTGCTGAGGTCCCCGGGGTTCTCCTCCAGCGGCCGGCGAGGGCTCATTGGGCTCGGCGGAGCCGTGCGGACACGAGGACTTTGGAGATTTTGAGGCAGCTCTGGTTGGAGGTAGCCACATACGTTGGGGTAGAAGGAGTGCGACAGAGTGCTGGTAGACGGTGCTGCTCCACCTTCACTGTCCACCTTGTCCTCTGTGTTTTCTCCAACAAAAAGAAGAAAGTCAATCTAAGAAGACTGGACGGAGGAGTGATGGATGAAAACTCGAGGCATCGTTTCTCTTCTGGAAACGAGGCGTATTTTCTTACCGATCCAAACGGAGCCGCAGAGCGACGGTGTGGAGCGGTCCGACCTCTCGTCCAGGAGCAGATCGGAGAAACGAGCGCCACAGCGGCTCGTTGCGTGTCGACGGTCCGCCTCGTATCGAGGCGGCGAGTACGGTCCAACTTCTGCCGGGTGACTTGACAGCTCGACGGTGCTCCTCCGGACGTCACAATAAGAGAAACAGCGCCCGAAATCCACAGCGGGACTTGGCAGGCCGAGCGGCTCGTCTACACGAACGTCCCGAGCAGAACCGATCCCTGAACGGAGGCTTTTTGTACGGGGAGCACGGGGCGTCCCAAAAAACTGCGAGACAACAGAGTCACTCAAAGGAAGAGGTTCAAAAGGTTAACACCAAGAAAACATGGGAGCTACCCAAAAACTAAACAGTTTTCAGCTTGATTGACCTAATTTATGACTGGTCATTGAATGCACCACAGCTGTATTTTCTCTGAAGGTGTGTTCGCTGTTTATATGGCAAGGGTTTTCATGGTACCACTTTACAATAAGGCTCCCCTTATAGATGGCTAATAAATGGTTTATAGATACGCTATTAATTCCTCTATAAACACTTTATAAATCATTAATAACTGCTTATTATGCATTAATTAAGGGCAAAAAGTGACAAAAACCAGGTTCTTGCCAAATGAGTAAAATCTGTTCACCTATATTTAATCTAGAGTTATATTAAACATTTCAGACTAAGTTTCTACCTTGTAAACACAATAAGCATTTGTAAACCTAATTTTTTAGGATGTAATATTAGTTGTAGATACTTGTAACTTAGTCTGAAATGTTTAATATAAACAACTCTAGATTAAATATATAGGTGAACAAATCTGGTTCACTATTTGGCAAAAAACTGCTCAGTGTTGTCTCTCTGTCACCCTTAATTAATGCTTAGCAAGCAGTTATTAATGTTTATAAAGTGTTTATAGAGGAAATAATAATGTATTTATAAACTATTTATTAGCCATCCATAAGGGGAGCCTTATTGTAAAGTGGTACTGTTTTCACTTTATTACCTGCCGTCTCCTAAAACAGGATGCAGTGTGTCCTGCTTATGACAGAAAACATCAGTAGACAACAACAGTATAGATTTATGAAAAGTTGCTAATTTTGTTTTATTTATTTATGTTGAGCTTTAACTGTCTGTCATTAAAAAAAACCATTTTGGATGTGAAACCATTGGCAGCTAGCTTGAAAACTTTGAGCTAAAGTAGCTTTGATTAGCATCAAGGAAATAACAGAGAGCTAACAATGCTAATTAAATAGTTAAACATCTTATCAGCATCATAAATGTATATTTACGGAAGATGAAAATAAATAGGTATAATTTTAAAATGCACTGATTTAACCATCTAGCATTTTTTTCTTTTATATTAATCAGAAAAAGTTTGACTAGATATCTGTTAGAAATAAATCAAATTTACTATAATTAAATGCATGTTTATGTTTTGAGGCATAAACAACGAAGAGACTGAGCTAAATTCAGAATTTAAAAATTATGCTTGTGAGTCAGGTTTTATTTGCTCAGATAACGCTAAGGATCTAAAAGTTTTTTCATAGATTTCCAGAGACGTGAAGAAAAAGCTTGTGATGTTTAGGAGAAAAGTAATATTTTAGTTTGTTTTAATCATTTTGAACATTTTCAACTTAACCACAAATAAGAGAGAAAAACAACAACGTATTCTGGTAATTAACGTGCATCAGGAGCAGCCTCCAAAACTACGACTGGCAAAATTTACCTTGAACCTTTCAGGATTTCTAAACACCTTGAGGTTTACTTTATTAACTATTACTCAGAAACTTGATTTATTCTTGCATTTACCGTATTATACAGTATTATTATATTTATAGAGTATTAGTATGTTAACTAATAACCTCTAGAAATGCATTCCTGTATGGAGAGCTTGTTTTTTTATATTTGTCCAGTGCAACTTTGGTTTAGATCCAGCAGTTTCTAAACAGATACTTATTTACCGGTACTTGTTTGTTTATTGTAAAGTGATGAGGGGAAAAATCGATCTGAACACATTTTAAGCTGAGTGTGAAACATCTTTAAATCGTTTAAAATTAAATCGGTTTCTCAACTCACACTATTGGTTGGTTCTCTAATTATCTCTCAGATCGAGGGCAATGTGTTCAACATAATGGTACTTCTTCCAATTACCGGTATCTAACTGTTAACAATGGTGTACCACAAGGAACAGTCTTAGGACTCACCCTCTTCACAATCTACATAAATAATGTAGGTCAGAACATCCCTGATGCATCCTTACATTTCTGTGCCGACAACACAGTTGTTTATTGTCGAGCTAAAACAGTTGCTAGGGTTTTCCAGCTTTTGCATTCGACATCATCCATTCAGATTTGTTCCGTCTCAAACTGGTGCTAAATGTAGATAAAACCAAAGGGATGATGTTTTCAAACAGGAAGTTGGTACCAGCGGTCTTTCCTTCTATTTTATCTTCGGATGGTGTTCCTATTGAGTTTGTCAATTCTTACATCTTAATTGTGGCTGAGTGGTTAGAGCAGTCGTCCTCCAATGCGAGAGTTGGGGGTTCGAATCCACCAGCAGTCACATGCCGAAGTGTCCCTGGGCAAGACACTGAACCCCTCATAACCTCCGATGTGTGTCCCATCGGTGTTTGAATGTGATAGAGCTCTGATTAGTCTCTTTAGAATGATTTGTTCAATTAGCTTTGTAGAGATCTAGTAGAGTGCTGTGTGGATGGGTAAATGAGGCACAGATTGTAGTGTAAAGCGCTTTGAGTATCTTGAAATAAGATAGAAAGGCGCTATATAAGTACAGTCCATTTACCATTTACAAATACTTAGGTATTTTGGTCGATTTGCATCTCTCTCTTGACTCATATCGAAAACTTGGTAAAGAAACTGAATGTTAAACTGGGTTTCTTTTTCAGAAATAGATCCTGTTTAACTCTGAACGCTAGGAAACACCTTGTAACTGCGACTTTCCTTCCTTCCATTGACTACGATGACATTATTTACATGAACGCCACAAGCACCTTGCATATATTGGACGCCGTCTATCACGGTGCACTAAGATTCATAACTGGCTGTAACTACCGTATCCACCACTGCACCCTGTATTCACTGGTTAACTGGTCATTGTTAACTTCACGCAGACTCTCACGGTACATTTTCATCTTTAAATCACTTCTTGGTCTGTTTTCATTCAACCTTTATTTATACAGGTTAATACTATTGAGCCTCAGGGACTCATTTACAAGAGAGACCTGTTTCCTTCATACATCTCCTCCTACATGTCACTGCGTGAGTGCAGCTACAGCGTGCGCTCTCAGGACATCATTACCTGCAGTGTTCCCTCAGTGAGGACTGAACTTGGCAAAAGGGCCTTCTCCTACTCCGCTCCTGTTTCCTGGAATATATTGCAAAAAAGACCTGAAGATCTCAACCTTGACCTCTCTAAGTGGCTTCAAACATCTGCTAAGTTCATGGGAAAAACCAACGCAGACATGTTCCTGTTTTTAGTTTTCTACACCGCTTCATAATGTAGCTGCTTTTGTTTTGTTTTTATATAATTTCTTCCATTTACGTTTCATTTTATATGCTTTTGTTTATGATTGTCTACGGTCGTCATCGTTCTTTGTTAAATCAGGTCTCTCTTGTAAATGAGTCCTTGAGGCTCAATGAGGCTAACCTGTACAAACAAAGGTTGAATTAAAAAAAAAACATTCAGACATTTGTTTTATAAGCTAAGGCGTGTTTCTAATCACAGTTGTCGTTTTAACAACTGATTCAGAGAAGGTTTTTTTTCTTCTGTTTTAGGTTCAGTAAATGTTATTTAATCATCCATCTTTTTGTCCAGTTCAACCCAAATCTCGTCTGATTTTCATTTTAACAAACCCTAAAAGTTCAGCAGGTCGTCCACCCCCTTCATCTCACCAGAGGCTGTTTGTTTTTCACCAGGCAGACGATCCGAGTCGCCTCTTCGTTGTCTGGCAGCTCGTTCGGTATCGGCGGCAGAACGGGCTCGTAGTCCTTCTGGGCCACCGTATCGTGAGCTGACAGCAGAGCCTGGAAAACAGAGGGACGGCTGCAAAAATCAGCTTTTAAAATTAACACGGGTGCGTTCTTTGTCCTTGTTTTTCTATATTTGTTTCCATATTGAGTCTCATGTAAATATTTCTCAAGAATTTATAGGCAAATTTTTAGACTTTTAATTTTCAAAACCTTTTTTATACATGCAGGGGGAAAAACAAAACAGCTTTCCTTGAAATAATCCATGTTGCCTACTGTCTTGCAGGCCAGAATTTTAAGTAAATATTTTTGTTAATCTGTTAGCAGGCATAGTATATGATAAAGATGACTCTCGGCTACTACCACACCAAATATTAGCACAATATCCCTAAAATCGCCTGACTTATAGCTTTTTTGTATTTTTTTAAGGTCAGTTGGTTGTGGCAGCCATGTTACATTAGACTGACTCTAAAACCTAAGCAACTGTAGACATACATCGTGTAATTATCTTTGCAAAGTTTCATTCAAATCAGTCAACTGGTTCATGAGTTATTTTGCTAACAGACGAACAAATCAGCACACACAGATAGATTTCACTTAATGATCCTTATTAATAATGGTATTCATTTAGTAAAAAAAGGAGATTAAATTAGAATTAATTGTGTTTTAAAAAAGAACTAAAATATATTTTATACTTTAGAACTTATTTACAGAAAAAGTCCTAATTTTTAAGGACGAAACATTAATTGAGTAAATTATTGTTTATGTGCAACCTGACAATCAAAGTGCCAAAGTCAAATATCAGTATTTTATGCGTTTAAACTTTACATTTCAATAAAAGAAGGTGGTATTTACAATAAAAATAAATGTATTAAAGTTTGCAGTAATGGTAAGTAAGGACAATTTAAATGATGACAAGTGGAACATTTTACACATTAAACTGAGTATAGTCTTTTAAAAAGTGTGTCCATTAACAGACACTCACTGGTTCTGTCCCCAAGCTTTTGTTTATTTATAGTGTGAATGTTTATTTAAGCATTCACACTATTGTGATCCTGTTAATATATATTTTTTCTTATAGTTACTATACTTCTTACGTACATTTTTTTGGCATCTCGTTCCACAATTTTTGTGCTATTTCAACAAATCATAAATCCAAACGTTCAGCTCTTTTGAGGAGAAGGGTGCTATGAATGGTATTGGTTCAACTTTAGCTTTTTGAAATATTTAGCCTTTTCCACCATTTTTTTCTCTCATAGAAAATGAATTGAACTCATTTTACATCCTTCAAATCTTTAGATCTGTTTACAACCTTTTACTGCTCCTTTCACATTTTGTTCTGCTTCAGCTAATTCCAGCTATCTTGTGCAAATAAAAAAACAGCTGTTTTTTCAGCTGATTTCAGCAGTTTTTTTTAGCCGTTTTGTGCTCCTTTCAGCTTTATTCTGCTAACTACAACATTTTTGTGCTTCTAACTTCTTTCTGCCAATTTTAGCTTGTTATGCTCCTTTCAGCTTATTTCTGCAAGTTTCAGCTATTTCTGCTACTATTTAGCTGTTTTATGCTAATTTTCACGTTTTCAGTTAATTCCACATTTTTGCACTCATTTAAACATTTTTCAGCCTAATTCAGAAAAAAAATGTGCTCTCCCTCCACTTGCTTCTGGTAACTTAAGCTTTTTTTATGCATTTTTAGCCAATTTTCAGCTGTTTTTTGCTAACCTGTTTTTTAAAAGATAATTCCCAGTCTTTTGTGCTCATTCTGCTTCTTTCAGCCTAATTGGGCAAACGTCTTCTTTATGCTTTCTTCTGCTATTTTAAGCTTGTTCTACCTTTTCAGCTACTTTTTTTTTTTTTTAGCATTTTCTAGCTAATTTTTGCTGTTTTCTGAAAAAAAAAAAAAATCAAGTTTTTCATGTTAATTTCTGCTACTTTCAGCCCAATTAACTTCTTTCTGATCATTTCAGCTTGTTATATTCCGTTTAGCTTTTTTCTACTAGTTTCAGCTTTTTCTGCTATTTCAGGTACGATTGATCATTTTACGCTAATTTGAGCTTTTTCCGCTAATCCCACGTTTTTGAAGCTCTTTTCAGCTCCTTCCACTTCCTTCTGGTAGTTTAAGCTTCTTTCTGCCTTTTCAGCTATTTTCTGCAAATTTCAGCTTTTTTTTGCTAACTTCCCAATTTCTGTGCTCATTTGTGCTTATTTAAACCTAATTCAGCAAATATGGGTTATTTCTGCTTTCTTTCTACAAATTTAGGCTTGTTCTTCCATTTCAGCATGTTTAAGCTAATTTCAGCAAGTTTTTCAGTAATAAGCAACCACACTGCATTTTCGCAGGAAATGCAACTTCTCAAGTTAACATGTATTTGACAGGCAGAGACCATCAGATTCAGCAGCACACAGGTGGTGTCTCACCTGCAGGTGAGGCTGTCGCAGGAGTCGAAACAGCTCTTCGGCCTCTTCAGAGCAGCAGGGCAACGATCTGAGATCTATCAGCAACTACACACAAACACACACATTCAGTAATAAATACAATGAGAGCAAAGCACACAACTATACACCCAACCTGAAGAGAGAGTCCTGAAGCGTAATCCAGCATTGGGGCAGGAGAGTCTCTCAGGTATCTCTGCAGGCACTGGTACACCTGAAAAACGTGAAATTAACTCAGAGTCAAGGAGTATGAAGCACACTTTTACTTTCACACGCTCCATTGATGTTTGACGGAAAGAAAAGGGAACCGTTTACATTCTCATACTTTTTTTTTTTTCTAGGAGGAAAAAAAAATAAAAAAATCAGCATTTTGGTCAATTTTGAGCACAAAGTCTTTTGTTTGAGTTTCTCGAAGAGTTTGATTTGTGCTGGAATAAATTGATGTCTTTATACTTCTATATTAATTTTTTTCACTACTGTCACATCTGTGCTTCTCTGTGTTCTCCTTTTCATGCTTGATGTTTTATTTTGGTCCTCTGGGTTCGGTTGTGTCCTCACGCTTAGCCTCACCAGTTCAGTCAGTTATCACTCACACCAGCTCCTAATTAACAATCATCCCAGGAGCTTTCATTTCCCTGTGTCTGTCTGCACTTGGGTCCAACCCCCTGACCATGATAACTTCATTCATCTGCATTCTGATTATGGGTCCAAGAGAGAGTTGCGCCTCGAACTAGGCAGTCAACTACACAGCATCACTGAATGCCCAAATTTAAACAAGGTATTCATTATGCATTTAGAGGAAAACCCTAATATATTTATGCAAATAACGATGTGGACTAAGATAATCTGATTCTCACAGCCCAGAACTGTTTGCTTGAAACATGCACTGCCTCCTGGGAGCTGGAAATAACCCCGTTGCAGGATAAAAACAGAGGAAGAGGAGCAATCTGCTGCTCTGCTGCCTACACAGATTTTCGAGTCTTACAGTAAGGGGTCGCACAACATTAATTAAGCAGTGGCTTACCATATCGCTAAAGACATGGTCCTTAGCGGCTAACAAGACGACTAACTTTAGCCATCTTGTTCCACAGTTGAGACTGGGACTGTGCCGTTAGCGATATGGTAAGCTGCTGCTTTATTAATGTCATGCTAACTCTCACTGTTCCTCTCATAAGGCACAGCGCGGCTAAATGAGTTTTGACCCGTGGTTTGTTTCAGGGAAGGAGGCTGAAGTCAACAATCGGAGCTGCAGCTTCATACTCCACTTATAGCGCTGTTTGAAATGGTGAAAAAGTTTCGTAGTGCCGACATTTTGTCGGGACTTGTTTTCGGTATCGTCTACAGAAAACATTTTTCTGCTGCTCATCTGACAATTTAAACCAAATCAACTCCAAATAACAGCCACTGTTTTTAGTTTAGTTTACCAGCTAAGCTACTCTTCGATATACTCTCCTGTGTTTACTTGTGCTGCTAAACTCCCGCCCACCTGGAGAAGCAGGTAGCGGGGGGAGCACATGTGAAGCAGGGGCCACGTGCAGTTGAGCGCAGACGGGAGAAAAAGAACTACACAGATTTTCAAATCTAATAATACTCGATGATTGCGATAAAACCATTTTAACCATCGTATACTGAAAAACTCACGATACATCAAGGATATTCGATATATCGCCCAGCCCTACTTGTAAATGCATTGATCTTCTGTGATTGCTGGCTGTTCTCCAAAGCTTTGTAATTCAAGATGATGAAACGTACACCTGGTTGTTTTGGGAATCCCTTTTTTTTCCCCCATGACACAGGCATTTCAACAGTTTGTGTCACCTCCAGAGGTTAAACAAAACTCAGATTTATTATTTCAGTTTAATTGTTGGACTTTATTTTCTTTCACTGTCATTTTGTTCTTGATGTTTAGGGTCAAGGATCATATTTAAATTAAGGGATGTGCTGTGTTTCAGTATAAAAACGGTACAAATCACTCACATCTGTTGAACTGAATGAATGTGTTTGCACCAACATAAAAAAGTAATCAGCTCTTTTTGCTTTGTGCTTAAATAACACAAATAGTGGGTGAACACTATGAGCTACAGTAAATCTGAACCAAAACGTTGCGCTGCACAATCTTAGTGAATACGTCCAAGAATGTCTTAAGGTTAGTTCAGGAGCCTTTTAGGACAGAAAATGATGGAAAAGCAGCTAAAGATTAATCAGAAAGCCCAGATAAAGAAGTGAAGGAATGATTCAGGACTTATCCACAGGACTCTGTTTTCAGACCTTGAGCAGCGACTGCAGCCAGGAGGAGGTCAGCAGACCGTGGAGGATCTCCGCTCCGTCGATGTCCTGGCTGACTGAACGCCTCACTTCTTCGATCACATCTGACAGAACCTTACGCAGACCTGCAACACAAAAAACATCAGCACTAGAGCTAGGAAGCGTAATTACTCGCAAACACAGGAGTTCTCCTCACCTTGTTCTCCAAGCTCAAAGTGGGGGTTCTCAGCCTCCATCGCCTGCCTCATGGTCACCGGATCCCTCGAACTCTGGCCCTGACCTCCAGGATGGTCCGTAAACCTGAAAAAACAAAAACAAACTAAACCTAAAAACTGGACTGACATTTGATTTACTTTGAGCAGATTAACATTTAAATTAAACCTCTATGTAGTTTAATTCCAGCAGTAACAATCTCTTGATGTGTTGTAATAAATCTTTATTAACTCTTACCGCATGTAGCTACAAGAACATGATAAATTTGTGAATCCAAAGCTAAATTTAATCAAGTTTTTAATTTATAAACAATAAATGCAAGATTGGAAAATCTGTCTGGCTTTTAATGTCTTGTTAGTAGCTACTCATTTCAAAGTATAGAATCAAACATAAAAAGTTAAGCTTGAACTGGGGTAGTTTGAAACAGTGATATTTTGAAATGCTGGTATGTACTCAGTGTAAATAAAATGCTCAGCTGAGTATGCTTAAAACCACGTGGAAGCTTGAGACACGATTGACCTAAATTAGGCTAGCCGTGGTTTGTGGATGGAATCAGACGAGCGTAGAACCTGAAAGAAGTTGTTTTAGACTCACATATTCAATGACATATTTGAGGGTGAGAAAATGCCTGAGGAATGGAGAAGAAGTGTGCTGGTGCCCATTTTTAAGAACAAGGGTGATGTACAGAGTTGTAGCAACTACAGGGGAATGAAGTTGATGAGTCACACGATGAAGATCTGGGAGAGAGTTGTGGAAGCAAGACTTAGACGAGAGGTGACTATCAGTGAGCAGCAGGATGGTTTCATGCCAATAAAGAGCACCACAGATGTCATCTTTGCTTTGAGGATGCTGATGGAGAAGAGAGGATCAGAAAGAACTCCATTGTCTCTTTGTGGATTTAGAAAAAGGATATAACGGGGTGCCGAGGGAGGAGGTGTGGTATTGCATGAGGAAATCTGGAGTGGCAGAGAAGTATATTAGACTGGTACAGGACATGTATGAGGACAGCAGGACAGTGGTGAGATGTAGGAGTGACAGATAGCTTCAAGGTGGGAGTGCATCAAGGATAGGCTCCGAGCCCCTTCTTGTTTGCTCTGGTGTGGTGATGGACTGCCTAACAGATGACGTCAGGCAGGAATCCCCATGGACAATGATGTTTGCAGATGACGTGATCTGTGGTGAGAACAAGGAACAGGTGGAAGAGAACTTGGAGAGGTGGAGGTATGCACTTGAAAGAAGAGGAATGAAAGTAAGCCGTAGTAAGACAGAGTGCATGAGTATGAATGAGAGGGAGGCCGGTGGAACAGTGAGTCTACAAGGAGCAGAGGTCACAAAGGTGCAGGACTTCAAGTACTTGGGGTCCACCGTCCAGGAAAATGGGGAATGTGGTAAAGAGGTGAAAAAGAGAGTCCAGGCAGGATGGAGTGGATGAAGAAAAGTTTCAGGAGTGATTTGGGACAAAAGGGTGTCAGCAAAGGTCAAAGGAAAAGTTTACAAGACAGTGGTGAGACCAGCTATGCTGTATGGTCTGGAGACAGTGGCATTGACAAAAAGACAGGAGAAAGAACTGGAAGTGGAAGAAATTAAGATGTTGAGGTTCTCCTTAGGTGTGACAAGGATGGATAAGTTTAGGAATGAGATCATCAGAGGTACAGCACAGGTTGAACAACTGGGAGATAAAGTTGCAAGACAGCTGCCAGGAGAAAGATAAAGAGGGTGCAGTTAGAGAGGACATGGAGGTAGTTAGAGTGAGATGGAGGAGGATGACTTGCTGTGGAGACTCCTGAAGACAGAAAAGCTAGAAGATTAATAATTGATTGAAGATGTTCATCTTATTTCTTACTTTTTTCTTTCTTTCTTTGGACAGTCTTCATGACTTTGCAATGGGTGTCTTCAAGTTGTTGTCAAGATGTTCTGTGGATGATCCATCACCAAATCTCTAAAAAGACCTTTTAAAACTGGTCAAAAATCTACTTATTGCCAGCCAACAACTTCTAAAATCTTGTCAAAACAAAATGAACAAATCTTAATCTATATCATGATTGCCAAAGTTGGTACAAAATGAGGTGAGGCAGATCTGATGTGGGCAACCAAAACATGAAGTAGTTTTGTAGCCGTTCAAAAGAAGCTGTAATTTTTAAGACTTTGTGACACTAAAACAGTGTCCCGACCTCCACCTGTCTGTCTCCAGCCCCCCAACGGGTGTGTCTTTTCGCTGCCATGGAGACCAGCAGCTCCCCGTGGAGCTGTGGAGGCTTGTACTAGCCTACCTTCCATTCCTTGACCTGGGCTGCTGCTGCCAGGTGTGCCGCGCGTGGCGGGAGCTCATCTTCTCCCTGGAAAACACCCGCTGAAGTCAGCTCTGCCTGGACTGCCCTGAGTGTTGCCATCCCAACTGGCCCAGTCAGCCGCATGTGGAGCCCCTGTCTAGGAGCGAAGGGCTGAGGCAGCACACACTTGTTACCCGCATCTAGACTCGAAACTGTCAAGAGCTCCAGTCCTCTGCATGCCTCTTGTTTTTCTGTCGGCAGAATGACCGCAGGATGTGGCACGTGGGCCCTGGGTGCGAGTTTGAGACCTTGCGTGGAGCTCTTGGGGTGGTGGGGCCATATGACCGGGTGGTTCTCCAACCAGGGGTTTATGAGGAACAGGCAGAGGTGGCGCTGAAGGTGCCTGTGGAGCTGGTTGGTTTGGGCTGACCAAGTAAGGTGGCCCTCCTGGTGTGCATGGAGCAGCAGTGTCCCACTGCCAGGCCGTGTAACCTGGTCTTTATGCCCCCCGGTTCTCCATGGTCGTCTACAAGGTGAAATAACAACTTGTGGTTTTCCTGAACAGATTTCCACAAGCAGATGTTCTGTCCTGGAACTCCAGGGCATGTTTAAGAGCCTTCTATGCTCCAGCAGATCTGATTTGAATCAATGGTTGATAAACAGTGATGGGGGTAATTTAATCATTGAATCAGATGTGTTGGAGCAGCACAATGGCTAAAACATGTAGGATTGTGGCCCCTGAGGACCATCATTGGACACCCCTGTCAGCATGGCCACAAGGCTCACTGATACAAACGTTCAAGAAATCGATGAGCCTTCAACAAAAGATTAGCTCATTTTCCTCACAATTTTGTGTCACCTGTCAAGTTCTGCTTTTATGGGCTCTGGTTTTGGTGTTCAAAGTGGTGTTGTACTCTGGGCCACAAGAATGAAGACAGCTCAGTCTTTCTTGACCAGCGGTGTAGTCTATGTGATACTATGGTATACGGCATATACCCACTAGAAAAGATTGGGAATTTCTGTATACCGCTTAAAAGTGCCCAATGATACGTAACATGACATATCGTTGGGCTCGTGTCATTGATACGGTAAACGGCAGTTAAACACTTTTGTAACAATCTGTCTGTATGCAGCGCTTGCTTATTACATTTGCTTATAAGGACCAGCACCAACTCTTCACTGATCCTCTCCGCTGGTATAAAAATTTGGGGCATTTCATTGTGTTCAAACCTAAAGCAACCAAACTTTAAAGTAGTAACTTGTGAATCAAGGACTGCAGCAGCCTGAGATGGGAACACAATCCCAGCTCCACCAGTCTGAACCTGTTCAGGGGTTAATGGCACATTTGATGGCAGCCGTTATGTGAAAAACAGGCGTTAATCTCTTTCTAGTGAACAAAACGCCAGTGTCTATTGAAATTTGTGACAAGAAATAAGTTGCTCCATTGAATACATTTGGGTAGCTTTTACTGCCTTAGTGTGGCAGGTCAAATAAAGCTTCACAACCATCCTGTAAACTGGACTTTAAACGCAATTGATATATATATATTTTCCTACCAAGCGACAGGGTCCTGGAAAACCCCTCAAGCCTCGCTGAGACGCACGCGGCAGGGCACGTCATGGATTGGAAGTTGATGTGCCTTTCCGTATTGTCTCAGGAGGATGCCAAAGACGTACATCATTGGAATCATGATAGCAGGGTTTCTGCTTTTTGGCACAGTCAGACACCTATGTTATAGGCTATTAAAGAAGATGGCGGCAGCAGTTTTGGCCATGGCAAATCTGCCGAGCGTATGTGAATGTTTGGTTCGTGCTTTGAGTCCTCAAAATCAGCTGATTTATGAGCTCAACCATAAGATGGAAGCAATTTTTGAGAATCGTAGGCAACTTGCAGCTTCTGGAACTCGTCAGCATGTTAGGGACGACCTAGGAGGGAGCTAACAAGCGCGGACTAGTGAAATGCCCACAAATCTGGCCATTTTGGATCATCGAAAGCACCAGCAGAATTCAAGGCTGATGAGAAATAATCTGCCTGAAATTAAAAAAATAAAAAATCAACAATTGTGACTTATCTGAATCTGACTCCCCCGTTTGGCCTTGAAGCAGGCCAACTTATCAAATTTCTCCTGTGATATGTGTAAACTAAGGAAGGCTCTGCCCCCCCACCCAAGAACTTCTGTGAACACTTATCAGAGCTGTACCAGCTGACACCAACATCTTATCAGGACCATGGTGCTATCTGGAAGTGCTTCATAGACAAATCTCACCGTCTTGTTGTCAAATTAATATGTAATAATGTGTCTATAAATGTGCTTGCTGGTAGAGTTTTTTCACGTCTTAAATCATGTCCTGATAAGTACAAGGTGTGAAGAGATCTTTTTTTGTAATACCACTATCCTCTCCTCATGGCCTTTCCCCTTTTCTATCCAAAGAATAAGAGGCCACGCTCTTAGGAGCAGCAGCATCGTGCACTCCGCCCATCTTTCGGATGACTGTACGAACACAATCTCACTGTTCTGTATTGCAGTGCACTAATAATAAAGCTTATTCTGATTCTGAAAGGGCTGCTGGATTGGAAAAGAGTTTAGGAGAAAAGAGTAAGCACCCACAGGATGATCCCCGAGGCCTTCCTCCAACCTCTTCAACAACCAAAAGGATTCATACCTGAATACCTGGAGCAGTTGGTGCCTTCTTCCACCACCTCCTTTAGATTTTACCTCTGGTAAAGATGCAGGAAAGTACATTTGTTGGAAATATTCCCCGGAGACCAGCCAGAGAGGGTCACTTTCATCGAGCAGCAAGGGATTGAGAGAGAGGGCTGTAATCTCTCTCGATCCCACCTAATCCCAGGGAGAGAGCTGCCGGCCTCTGGCCACCGGAAACCGGCTCCTCCCTCACCGGCTGGCTGGTTGGTGCCAAATCTTCTTAACTCTTTCAGCTGTGAGGTAAGGAGGGGTGAAACAGGTGCTACCTCATAAGCCTCATCTTCTCAGGAGATAAGGTTTATGAGGTTGGAGGGGTGATTCAAGAAACAGCTAATGTGTTCAATTAATGGAGGAGTACCCATACAGGCCACTATAGTCTCCTGAAATAAAGAGTCGCACCCAAAACATTACGTTCAACTAAAAATTATATTCAAACTGCATTCATTTTCAGCTTTGTGCAGAACTCAGTGTACTTAATTCTCCTAAAAGGACAGAAAAGCCCTGCTGTAGCCCATTTCCTAAAAATTCACTGCACCATCACAAGGTGCCAGGCTCAGAGTATATATTGTGAACAACTCTCAGCTACTACCACACCGACCTTTAGCTCAGTGTCTGTAAAATTAACTGAGTTGTAGCTATCTTTGTTTTCCAAGTTTAGATGTTTGTGGTGGTCTTGAATGGGGATGAATCCAAATGTTGATCAGCAGTAGAACTGAATCTAACTAAAGAAATTACAGTTCCTGTGAAAATTCAGTATGTCTATTGCTGAAAAACAGACGAAATTAGCTAAAGGCATGCTGAATTTTAGCTGAAAAGGAAGAACAAGCCTAAATTAGCATAAGAAAAAGAACACATATTTGCTGAATTATGTTTAAAGAAGCAGAAATGAGCGCAAAAATTATGAAATTAGCTAAAAAAAGCTGATTATTTATTTTCTTTTTTCATTTATACAGGTAGTCTCATTGAGCTACGAGAACTCATTTTCAAGAGAGACCTGTTTAGGGAGCAGATGGTGGGGGTTAAGGGCCTTGCTCAGGGGCCCAGAGTAAGGCGAGTGAGGGTGGACGCAGGTGTGGGTTTCACCTTTTCCACCCACATTTTTTTATGTTGACAGTACCGGGAGTTGAACCTGCGACTTTCCGATCACAGGCCCATCTTCTCGAACCTCTGCGCCACCACTCCCCTAAATTAGCAACAACAAAAATAGCTGAAAAGTAGCTGAAAAGGCAGAAAGAGGCATACGTTACCAGAAGTGGAAAGAGCTGAAATGAGCTAATAAATGTGGACTTAGCTGAAAAAGCTAAAAATAGCAGAAAACAGCTAAGTAGCTGAAATAACAAACTAGCAGAAAGGAGCTGAAAGGAGTATAACAAGCTGAAATAAATTAATTACGCTCAAAGTAGCAGAAATTAGAACAAAAATACTTGAACTGATCTGAAAGCAGCTGGCATTAGCTAAAAATGCTAGTCCAAAAGGTAGAACAAGCTAAAATTAGCAGAAGAAATCAGAAAGAACATGCTTGCCCAATTAGGCCGAAAGAAGCAGAAATGAGCACAAAAAAGTGGAAATTATCTGGAAAAAAACAAAAAACCAACAACCATAAATTAGGCAAAAAACATCTGAACTGTAGTTGAAAAGGCAGAATCTTAAAATACCAGACGGAAGTGGCTAGAGCACAATTGTGTCTAATTAGGCTGAAAGAAGCATAAATGAGCATACAAAAGGGAAATCTGAAAAAAGCTTAAATTAGTAAATAAACAGCTGAAAAGTAGCTAAAAAGGCAGAAAGAAGCTGAAATTACAAGGAGGAAGTGGAGAGAGCATATTTTTGCCAAATTAGGTTGAAAAAACTGAAATGAGTACAAAAATGTGGGATTAGCTGAAATAGCTAAAATTGGTATAAAACAGCTAAACGGTAGCTGAAATAGCAGAAAATGCTGAAACATACAGAAATGAGCTGAAAGGAGCATAAGAAGCTGAAATTTGCAGAAAGAAGTTTGAAGCAACACAAAAATGTTTTATCAGGAATAATCTGAAATGAGCACAAAACAGTTGAAATTTGCTGAAAGTCGCTGAAGTTTAAATTTGCACGAGGAAGCTGAAAGAAGCTGAAGCAGAACAAAATGTGAAAGGAGCAGTAAAAGGTTGTAAACAGAGCTAAAGATTCGAGAGATGTAAAATGAGCTCAATTCATTTTCTATGAAGAACACAGTGGCAGTAAAGGCTAAATATTTCAAAAAGCTAAAGTTGCACCAATACCTAAAGTCAGCATTCTTCTCCTCAACAAGCCAACGTCTTGATATACGATTTGTTGAAACAGCACAAAAATTGTGGAACGAGAAAGATGCAGAAAAATTGTATAGAAGAAAAATGGATCATAGTGTGAATGCTTCATAAATATTCACACTATTATTAATTTCACACTTAATAAAAAGAATTGTCAGCCAACAAACAGCCGAGTGTTGAAACAACTCGCAGCTGTTAGAGCGGGTGAGTTGTCACTTTTATTTTTTTGACCAAAAAAAAAAAAAGACATTTACAGACACGAGGAACCGTCAGTTTTCCAACAGGCGCTTCATTTTATGATCGCATTTCTTTTTGATTAAAGCAAATCAAAAACGACAAAACAGCGTTAGCTCTTCACAGATATCAGTATTGGTTCAGCAGGCTGAATTATTTTTTTTACTCGTTTCTCCTTCTCTTCATCTACAGGATTTTCTCTTCCTTTACCCACGTGAGAAAAAAAAGCTGTCTGGGGTTCTTAACCGTGCGTCAAAACCCAAGAAACAACGCGCGTGTTCGCAGATGGTGCCGAGCTCTGAACTCCACCTGCAGCAGCATTTCAGTCATCGAGCCACAGAAAGAAAATCTTAGCGTTAGATTTTTCTCATGAGGTGCAATAAATGTAACTTTATCTGCTTTAGTGCAGCTGAAAGGAGAAGTCATGCATCTCCAGTTTTGAAATGTGCAAATTATCAACGTTTAAAAGCATTTATTTTTTCAAAGTAATGAATATGATTGCAGGCCTGTGCAACGGCCTTTTCAGTGTTCAGAAATACGAAACCTAGGATTTACCGTATTTTTCGGACTATACGGTACTTAAAACCCTTTGATTTTCTCAAAAATCGACAGTGAGCCTTATAATCTGGTGCACTTTATGCATTGATTCTGGTTGTGCTTACGGACCTCGAACTAGTTTTATGTGGTACACGGCGCTCAGACATCTGTCAAAATGTTTCAGTTTTGTTCAATGCGCCTTATAATCCGGTGCGCCTTATAGTCCGAAAAATACGGTAGATTGTCTGATAGATGATTCTGCAGTTCAGAAACTTTGATAGATCTTTGAGATGAAACGTCACGTTTAACCGGCTGGAGTCACAGTCGAGACTTATTTATCAACCCTTCTTTTTTTATAAAAACAGCGATTGGTCAAATAAACAATAAATTTAGTCTCTTCCATTTTCTTTTTTTTTCAGAATTTTTGTTGAACTGTGAAAAAAAAAAAAGGACACCAAAGACAAGAAGGTTCAGCTGCAGGCCGCACTCCGTCTTTTTTTGTACCAGCGAGGTCCGTTTCTGTACATTTATATTCACGTGCACGAGTGCATCATTTATAGTTCTGAGAGCTGCACGTTGGCAGCCCCAAGGTCCATATTTAGGACACTTGTTTTTAAAATAAGTAAAATGTTTATAATGGAAAAATACTGTCAAGAGGATGTTTTGATAAAGGAGAAATTAAGAAAAGCCAAAAAAATAAAAGAATATGCTGAGATTTCTGTTTTTTGTGCCGTCAAGCTGAGCGCTAGAATTGGCACACTGTATGGCAAGTTGTACTATATAATAAATTATTCTTGTATGAAAAGTTGTTGCACTATATAATAAATCATTCTAGTGTGGCAGGTTGTATTTAATAAAAAATCATTCTAAAATGGAAGGTTGTTGTACTATATAAATCAATCATTATTGTATGGAAGGTGGTTGTATTATATAAGAAATAGTATGGAACATTGTTGTACTATATAATACATCAGTGTGGAAGGTTGTCGTACTATAGAACAAATCATTTTAGTATGGAAAGTTGTACTATATAATAAATCATTTTAGTGTGGCAGATTGTTGTACTTTATAATAAATTATTCCTGTATGGAACATTGTTGCGCTATATAATGAATAATTCTCGATGGAAAGTTGTACTATATAATAAATCATTCAGTGTGGAAGGATTTACTATAGAATAAATCCTTTTAGTAAGGAAGGTTGTACTATATAATAAAATCCTTCAGTATGGAAGGTTGTTGTACTATATAATAAATCATTTTAGATTTTTTTTGCCATTTTAGATTTCAGAATGAGCATTTCTCCATGTCACATAACAGAGCAATTAAAGATATTTAGAATCACAGAATAAGAAGGAAGAAAATACAATTTAAGGTCATTCTAAATGTTCTTGAAAAAAAAAAAAAGGTTAAGATATCTATAAAGCCTTAAAAAGTCTAGGCGGATGAGTTGATATTTTAATGGTCAAAGTGAAGTTTTGCGGACATTTTCCTACTCAAATTAAAAACAGAATTGTTACTAAGAGAAAACTCATTTTATAAATCATCTACAGTTCCTACTTATGAGTCCTACGTTTTATTTTAGATATTCAAAAATGACGTTTGCCAGATTTTTCAAATAATATTACAAACCAATTTTTTTTAAAGATTTTCAGAAGACGTCATGTGATGTTTATTTGAAAAGTCTAAGGTTGTGATTCCTCAGTGAGTTTATGCTGGTACCAAACACATAACTACAATATTATTGTTTATATACAACCACCATCCTCACATCTGCAACACCTAAGCAGAGTTCATTAAATATGAAATCAACACTTCTTTTTTTAATTTCTAGGCATTTTTAACCTTTAATTAAATAGCTGAACTGAATATGATACTCTTGAAATGTGATATCTACTTAAAATTTGATGGTAAATATCTTTAATTTTAGTTATGGGTAGTACGAATATTATGTGACCAAGAGAAAAACCTAAAGCAGTAACAGTAAATAGAGATGACAATGTGATTTGATTATATAGTCAAACTGCCTGCCATACACTATGCCAACTCCATTGAGCGAACAGGCATGGCTAGTATGTGACCAGGAGAAATTCAATTATTGAAA